TTTTTTTTGAGAGGGTTCGAAAAGACGTGCCCCTTTTTAAAAAGGGGCACGTCTTTTCGAACCCTCTCAAGTTTTTCATTTCTTTTGTTTTCGAACTTCCCTTTGATGGAGTGTTAAAACAAAAAAACAAAAAAAGAATTGTGACGAGTCCCTTCCTGTGCTCTACAAGAAAACACATTGCTGGATCGTCTCTACACCCTACACCATAGTTGCGGTGCACCTCGGTGCGCGGATTTGCGCACCGTACGCACCGCACCGCACTGCGCACCGAAACGCACCGCACTGGAAAATTAGGTCCCAAAAAAAAAAAAAAAAAAAGTAGGGGTACTAGAGGTTTTGTAATTTCTTAGGGCCCCAGCTCGGCAAAACTGTTAAACTCACCGCGCGAGCTCAGAAATCGGCCACGCCCCTGGCCCAAATTTGTTTTTTTGGGCAAGGGCTGCTGGATTTCGATTTCCGCAGGCCCTTCCCCCAAAAGTTTCAAAATGGCGAAGCATGTACCACATGGACCCTTTTTGAAAAAAAAAACCAAAAGGGCTCATTCCAACTTTTGTTTAAGGCGGGGTATGGAAACTGGCCTTCCCCCTCCCTTCTGCAAATCCCACACAGTGGCAGGGAAAGTTCGCAAGAAGGGGGTAGCCACCCAATAGCAACCTGGCCCGCAAAGCTTCGCAGAAGTCACAAGTTGCGTTTTCCATGGCCAGCCGACCACCAATATATGCTGAAGATTGGCGTTCAGGTCTGCATGTCGGCAGTTATGGGTTAGGATGAAGATGCCTGTAGCAATCTCGTTTTTTTGTTTTTGTTTTCTTATGAATACGTACAGTGGGACCTGCTCCACTACTCACCACATGCACAAAAGACATAGCATATGGCGGTGTATGGTTCAATGTTTTAGCAGAAGATTCATTCTACTAATATTATATACATTTGGTGAGTGGTGGAGGGAGGCCCTGAGAATCACGTGGAGACACGAACAGGGTCTAGCTGACTTGGTGACCCATAACTGCCTAGCCACAGCCCTGAACTCGAACCCACAGAATATATTGGTGGTCTTCTCCTACCTCTTCCACATATGACATGGCCATCCTTCTCATTGAAACAGTGGCCCTCAATGACTCCACACATATCGTACGAGCCATTCGAGGTACCTCTAGGGGCCCTCAAATTGACATGAAGGGGACCCTCTCTCTCTCTCTCTCTCTCTCTCTCTC